TTGTCCGCCATCTTGGAAAATGAATGAAGAGTGAGACTGGTGACGAATGTACCTCGACTTCATGCAAAATGCAAAAGTCTTCCATATATCATGTGCTCTCATTAATATGGCAACTTGATCGTCTTGTATTCACTAGTTTTTAGCTAATTATGTACTGAGAGATATATAAAAATGCAATTTTACATGTACTTTTAGAATTGAACATTTTCTTGAATCTTATTGACATGTATATTATGATAAATGTGTGATTCAATATTTACTATGATTGAATAAAACAATTATTTTCCTGTTGATAGGGCTAGAGGATTTAGTCTCTATGATACACTCGATTCTATGTCAGAATGCTGGAAATTATGTTTTTGAGCCATCGAATTTTAAAAATTTCTTTGGGGGGCATGCCCCTAAACCCCCCTAGAAGGCKGGGCCTTACGGCCCCGTTTTGGACACAGGCGCCTACTTGTACTGCTTTAGCCACCTACTTAAAATTTTATTGACATCCCTGATGATTATTGCGCGACAATCGCCACTTTGACGTAGCACAACACAAATCGTCTGTGTAAACAGCCCTGAGAATTTAAAATTTTTGCTGCAAAAATTCAAGCAAAGCACAGGCAATGGTCATGTGACAATGACCCTGCAATAATTGCAAGACTATAAAGAGACCTAACAGGTTAAGGAGGACACTATGATGATGATACACATGTGACTAGAACTATTATATATCTATTTCTGTGGATATTTTACATTCCCTTTTGAGAGTAATGAAACAATTTGGATTACTGATTACATAGTAAAAATCAGTGGGCAAACGTTTCTGGTATATGTTATGTCAATACGATGAAGATGCCAATCTTTTGTTGAACTATCTTTGTCTATTTTTCCATTGCATATTGATAATTTATTATACATGCTCAAATCTGTAATGCAGATAATTAAGGGACATTGTTTTGTTTCAGATGGCTGCTTTCTGATTATGTCAAAGTCAGGTATTTTCAAATCTTAAATATCTTTTTATTGAGGAAAGATAATATTATGGTATAATATGGTTGTTGGATATGCTGACTAATCAAAGAAATAGATTAATCTAGACATATTTACAGGGAAATGCTGTTTTAAGATCTTATCTACAAACCCTTTGCTTTGAAGTTTCATTTGCTTTAGAAGTAATTCTAATGTAAAATCTCTGTGGTGCAAAGAGAGCACTAAAAGTTTGTGTTCAAAAAAATTGAAATTTGAGTATTACAAGCCTTATGTGTGCTGGAGTAGTCCAAAATCAAATGATAAATTCAGGGTTGTTGCAGCAGAAGAAAACTCTAATTTCATATTCATCTCATATTCTTGGTGATCACTAAGTTTATTCATTTAAATGATGACTGGTAATACAACTGGAAAATGATATGTCTGGTAAATAGTGAACTTTAAAAGAGTGTTGTTTGTTTAGTAATATAGCTGTTGAGGATATGCTGTATTCAGAGTCTGACCTAGAGAAAAGCATGGACAAAATAGAGACAATACACTTTCATCAGGTAAACAATAACGTTGATGGAGTAAAACCTTGGTTATTATATAGTTAATAATCTACCTAAACCATGGGTTATGGAATTCTTCTGTCCGATGAATAGAAGGAATTAAACCAGTTGTCAGTGACAGCAGGGATTAGGCAAAATGAAATTGCTACATACATGTATTTTGTCAAAGCTACAATGCTGTACAAAACACATTGTAACGCTGACATTTTTACGCGCTTTGTTGAGTTACAGTACATTTGATGGATTACAATATTTGCTATTAACTGGTATTCCATTTTACACAAGTGAGTTACATGTATGACCAGTTAGGGACTGCCTTTATTTTTCAGGAAAAAGAAGTTGGTGGGATCAAGTTCTGGTGCTACCATGCTGGACATGTACTTGGGGCAGCCATGTTTATGATTGAGATTGCTGGGGTCAAGGTATCAAAATAAGCCTAATTACTATTTCATGTCTTCTTGCATCCAACAGTACAGCAAATCATTTTCTTGACATAGACTGCATTCACTATATGTATACAACTAGATTAAAAAAAAACATTGTCAGGGAGAATGCTGAATGACGATTATTGAAGGCGAGATTGCTCGACCAAAAGGGAATATGGTTTTGCTGTTTTGACAAAAAATATTTTACCTTTTGGATTCACCTTGCATAGAAATGGAGACTAGGTAGATCATTCTGTATGGGAGACTTTGAAAGGGATTGGAGAAAAGTGTACTTCTAATAGGCCCTATACATGTATATTCACATGGGGATCATAGACCACTTTTACCTCAAAATTATGTACAGAAATGGAAAAAAGCAAGGTTCATGTAGGTACATGTAAAGTGGGAAAGTTCAARTCTCAGCAGTAAAAACTTCAAAAATGGCAGCAATATGTGGGGCTTAAAACTGAAGGGCAAGCCTTGCTCTTCACTTCTATTTTTTCATATTTTCTTTAGAAAAATTTTGATTTTCTATTATTATTTATTTCTATTATTTATCATTCTATTATTTTTCACAGGGCTTGTGCTACTCCTTCATATTCTTGAAAAGTCCTGGAATTCAAAACTTGTTTTCAAGGGCGCTTGAAAATGTAGCACGAACCCTGTTTTTCAATTATTTTGTGTTGAGACTTAGTTCTTACTGATTCTGACCTTCTCTCCATTTCGATTGATTTAAGGTAGGTGTGATCACCTCCAGCTGCAATGGGCCTTTTGACAGTAAAAGAAAAAGCTTTTTGCAAACTACATGTTGTATTTAGTAAATGAAGTGAATTCACACTTTACAAAGGTTGCTATCAAAAGGTCTATTATTGATGATGGATATTATTTTAGATATTATACACAGGGGATTTCTCAAGGCAAGAAGACAGACATTTGATGGCAGCAGAAATACCAACCATTACACCTGATGTCCTTATAGTTGTAAGTCAATCTTTAAAATCTGCATTCTTTGATAATCTACATGATTGTACAAACTAGGATGTACTACAATCTTGAACATAAATACTTTGCAATTTTTTGCTTGGGTATTACAAATGCTGTATCATGTTAATCTGGCAGGAATCAACATATGGTACTCACATCCATGAAAAACGTGAAGATAGAGAATCTCGCTTTACAGGTACTCACCCTGGGGTAACCAACATTTGATTTACTCTGCAAATGTAGACATTTAATTTAGAACATTTCAGCTCCCGAAAATTAACTACATTTCCTTTTTGACGGGCTTTAGGGACATTGTTCCCTTTTTTGAAGATATTTTTATATCAACTTTAGTGGAACTTTACAGTTTCACAGGAAAATGTATATTTTAGTGATTATGGTTACATATACTTAAAATGGATTAAAATAAACATGGACTAACATCTCATTGCAGGAACTGTTCATGATATTGTCAATAGAGGTGGACGTTGCTTGATTCCTGTGTTTGCCCTTGGTAGAGCACAGGAGCTGTTGCTGATCTTAGGTGAGTGTGCAGTGGATAACGTCTTTGCATATCTAGAACATCTTCCTTATAATACCTAGAATTTCCAGCCATTCAGGCATTCAGCTAGAATGGACTTGTGAAATACAGTAAAACCCTGTGTATGAGAACCTAGATTTCTCCAAGTAAGCCAGATCAGTTTCTTATATAAATAGATAATCAGGCTCTCTAGGTTCTTAATCTGTGGCAAGAAAAAAGTGCTTGTATTCGTGGGGGTGGCATTTTATATATAAGAGAGTGCAAACATAGTGTATGATCTATAACATTTTTGTTTTGTAGATGAATATTGGCAAAACCACCCCGAGCTTCACGATATCCCAATATACTATGCTTCACAACTGGCTAAGAAGTGCATGTCAGGTAGGAACAGCATTGCATTGTTATCTGAAATAAAACAGATAATGTCATTGCTTGTTTTATATACTCTACCGGTGTGCTCACCTTAAAATTCCAGTACAGGCATAGTTAAGTGACGACACCGGAAAATGGCTGAAAGGAGTTTAGTACAAGTAGGAATAGTACTAGGAACAAAGCTGCTTAAGTTTGTTCCTAGGAGGATAGGAAGCAATAAAAAATAAGAAATCAACTTACACTTAGATATGAGGTTATTCCCACTTGTACTGAAATTTTAAGAATAGTCAAATACTTTATTTGGCAACACATGTGCACAGCTGTAAACACAATAAGTAACATGAACATGTTGTAAGTAACATGAAACCTGTAATGATTCCAAACTCCATTAGTTGTCTTCTGTCATGACCAGTCATTTGATGGTTTGACTTTGATACATGCAAAGTATGGTGGATGCTATCAAAGAATAGACCTTTTCATGGTTAAAACCATAGCGGGCAAGCATTCTGCATTTCATCCCTCAAATGAACAAGAGTGCCAAGACATGTCAAATAGGCCCTTTGCAGCTGGGGGTCACTTGACCACACCTACCTTAAATCAATCGGCAATGACAAAATGATGTTCAGAAATGGAAAGGGTAAATATGTCAAAATTGATAGCAAATTTAAAACCTTTTTTTTCTAAAGAAACATAATTTATGCAAAATCAGAACTAGAGAGCAAGGCTTCACTTGATAGTTTTAAAACTGCTCTTAAAACCTTCTTATTTAAACAAACTTATGATCTGTAACTCTATTGTAACTTTCTTTACCTTAATTTTTATCTTTTTTTTGCGCTTAGAAAAAGTTTTATAAGCGCTTTATAAGCTTAGATTATTATTATTATTATTATTAAGGCTTGCTCTCCAGTTCTATTTTTCCATACATTTCTTTTGAAAAATCAATATTTTACATAATATTATTTACTGTCATTTTTGAAGTATTTAGAGTTGAGACTTGATACTTTGACATTTTACCAACATAAACCTGCTCWTTCCATTTCTGAAAATCTTATTTGTTGATAGCTGATTGATTTAAGGTAGGTGTGGTCACGAGACCCCCAGCTGCAAAGGGCCTATTATTATTTTTCCCACCAAAAACATTTTTTGTCCTGATATTACATGTACAAAAAAGATAAACAAGCTCAAAAAGGACAATTTTTGGGTYATRGCTAATTACGCTTGGTTTGGTGCAAAACCACCAAAGAAAACCCTTGCTCAGCTAGTTTTCTAACTGTGAAAAGGGCTATTGGGTTTTTTGTATTGTATTTCAATGAGGATATAGTTATTTTGTTAACATATTTAACTGTTTAGTGTTTCAGACTTATGTTAATGCGATGAATGATAAAATTAAGAAACAGGTAAGGACATTGACTATGGTGCAACAGAACTGCTGTTCAGCTTGTAAAACAATGTTATCCATTTTATGGCCAGTTTTTAAGATTTTTCATTTCCAATATAAGCATGGGTTTCATTGGGGATGAAATTTTTCAGTACAGCAAGCGAATTCCAAATGGGTCCATACATTCATTAATAATCGCTTAGATTATTATCGTCACTGCGACAATCACATATATAAATCATTACACATGAATTGCAGTATAAAAGCAATAACTTCAAAAAGCAACTCAGCATGCTTTTTTGCACACTTGAAGGAAAAAGCTGTTATTTCAAAATGCTGCATAATTCAAATATGACTAATTTATACCTGTTAAAAACTTCAGATAATCAGATAATAGTTTGGAGTTATTGAGTCATCCCAAAAGCAGAGAAAATTTTGCCTTAAAAGATCAAAAGGATGGAGTAAAATTCCTAAGAAATAATATGGATAGCTTAACAAAATACGTTTCTTCGTCATTATAGGACACTTATTGATAACTCTACAGAAATTTCAAAAGTATGATTTTAATGATTCTGTCATCCTGAATGCATTTTCATGAAAGTATGGCAGCAAAGTCCACTTCAAAATGGCAAAAAAGGCTTTTCATGATTTTAGYTGAGCTGGCTTAAAAGCCATCATTTGGTGTTCTTCAGTGATAATTTACTTATACTAATGCTGTTATCTGTTATATGTAGATTGCTGTTTCAAATCCATTTGTATTCAAACATATATCCAACCTAAAGGTAAGACACTTTGCTATTGATGGTATAACAACTGTGGTATTAACTATTTACAATTCTGTTATGATAGAGTATTGATCAGTTTGATGACATTGGACCATCAGTGGTGATGGCTAGTCCAGGAATGATGCAGGTATCATGGAATTGTTGTTTCATTGAAAAATAAAAGCATTTTGTTAATTCATGTTGTTAAAAAATATCTTTTAAATATTTTTAATCTTTAAAAACCTTTTACGGGACTGAAAAAACACACGTTACAATAAATAAATAATTGTTMAAAAAAGGGTGAACCATCTTATAACATTATGAATCAAAAAACAACCTACAACCAACCATTTAATTTGCATTGAATTGTTTTTGTTTCGATACTCTTTCGATACAGTGATTGAACTCATAAACTGGTTTAACTGGTTTGTTGTGACAGTGAAATGAATACAATGTGCAGCGACGACATTTTGTATACCAAAGCATGATGGGAGTTGTAGTCCTCGCACTTTTTGATGAATTTTACAAAGTCTCTTTAAAAGCCGATTTTATGTTTCCTTTTGAAGAAACAGTACAACTACTTGTATATTCAAAAAAAAAAAGACCAAAAAACGTCTACATGAAAAGAGGCCCAGGCAGCCATTTACATGTATGAACTTTTTTAAATCTTTCTGAGCAAAATAAAGTTGATGTTGTTGTTGTTTCTGAACAAAATGGCTTCGCTCGCATTGCCTATTATCATTGTTGTTAAGATTCTTGTTAAAGACTTTTTAAACAGTCAATCAACTAATATGTTTTGTTTCAATAGAGCGGTCTATCACGTGAGCTATTTGAACAGTGGTGTACTGACAGACGTAACGGTGTAATCATTGCTGGATACTGTGTAGAAGGAACTCTTGCTAAGGTACTTATTGTTTGATATTGGTAAGGATTTTACGAATGCATCTATATATGATACCCAATACAATATACTTCTTATGTAGAACCTAATGGCTGAACCAGAAGAAATAACAACTATGTCAGGACAGAAGATACAGCGGAAGTGTTCTGTTGGTATGTACATGCCTAGTTATCCATACAACCATATGTACATATGAATAAGCAAATTCGATTCTTCCACATTGTTTACTATGCTCCAAGCTTTCGGATTTACAATCCATCATCAGAGAATAAAACGGTTATACAAAACGTCAAATAAACTAAAACAAAACAAAAGCAAAAAAAAACAACAAACATTTGGAAAATGTATCCCGTTTGGAAAAGCTAGCCTGATTTTCAGACGGGCCTATGGGTCCGATGCTAACGTGCCCATCTGAAAATCAGGCTAGTAAAAGCCGGATCGCGTAAAAATAACCTTATTTCTTTCTCTCGGTAGATTACATCTCATTTTCCGCTCACACAGACTTTGAGCAAACCAGTGAGTTTATTCGCACGTTAAAACCTCAAAATATAGTAAGTATATAAACCAGTTGCTATTTCTTTTTAATAGTAAGGCCAATGGTTACTTTCGGTCGTGCAATTGCCGTTCGACAATTGACATTTGCCATCTTATCCAACAACCTTTTTTGAAATAGGTATGTCTATCCATATGATTTTTGTTTTTGAGTTTGTAACGTTCAGGAGCCGCCACTGTTCTGTTAAGCTTCTTGTTGGGAAACTAGAAAGTACTAATCCTGTTCATTTGTTTTCAGATTCTAGTCCATGGAGAGAAGAATGAGATGGGAAGATTAAAAGCTGCTTTAATCAGAGAATACGAAGACAATCCCGTATGTAACTAATGAAGCTTGATAGTCATTCATTTTTTTTTTTTTGAGAGGACGTGTGTTCACCATTGATAATAGTCCAATTTCCGTACTTTGGTTGAACATGCATTTTCTGACATTGCAGTCTGCATTGCATGCTTTTGTGGTCTAGGTTCAGCACAACAGTACAAACATCTTTTCTTCATGTAGCCAAATGTGGTGATGTTTGTACTGATGCTAAACCACAATGCCCCATGATTTTGTATTTCAAGGGTATATGGTCATGCACAAAAGAATTCAAGACGAGTCTCATGGGAACAAAAGAATTATCTGTTRTTTCCCTGGAGCCTCGCCTTTATTCTTTTGTGCGTTGTTAGTCAACCAAAATATCGAAAGTCAGTTATTGGCTATTCCGATYCCTAATTTCTTATCACAGCATTACAGCATGAATCTATGAAAAAAACAGGACAAATAAAGTGTAATGAGCTTTAGAGTAGCTTCCTCAAAAATCACTCTCAGACTCTCTTTTTTTTTTTTTGCAAATTGAATAAAATGCTACTCGATGAGTATTAGGCTGAATACTCCCAAACTTTCGGATAAGAAAATTGGGAGACTCCCTCGCTCTATCCCTACATTGAATGTTGAAGCACGCAAGAACTCCTAACAGGTTGTTATTAACTGAGAAAGGAAAACTTTGTCCTTTTAATTAKTCTTTAACTATTACATAAATTTTATGGACCATTTTACGGAGATTAATTTATTTTTTATAGGAACTTAGTATAGTTGTGCACAATCCACCAAACTGTCAAAGTGTAGAGCTCTATTTCAGAGGTGAAAAGATGGCAAAGGTAACTCGTCGAGTTTTCGTGTAATGACAAAGATATTGTAGAAATTATCATATGTAACCATAAAATATCGGTATAGGCATTGCATTGTGGYCTAGACTCGATAAATTTGGTATTGCTTATACTGAAGCTAGACCACAATGCAACATGATTTTGCTTTTTCAAAAAAGGTCTATAGAAAAAGCAGTTCATATAACATCTTCAGACAATTTCTACATGTTTGATGTACTCATTAGGTGATGGGTCAGATGGCGAGGGAGAAACCACARCATGGCAAACAGTTATCAGGAATCCTTATTAAACGAGGTTTTAATTATCACCTTATTGCTCCTGACGATCTACAGAGTAAGTTAAAGATTCCTTGCGTGTGACGTCGAAGCAGCTTCATCTGGAAGASGAAACAAACGATTTTTGCCCTCTTGGGAAGTAGAATCTACTGTTTTGACCTCCAGTTGGAGGTGCATTCCCATKAACAGCAAGGGATCTATATCGTATTCTTTGATATTGCTTTGAGAAGTGTATCCACCGCAAGTGTCTCTCTTTTTTCCACTCACGGGATTTTATGACTAAATGCATTTTCTTTTGTGTCTATTTGACTATCACATTTAAATAGTCAAGGSTTATAGCACGGGTTTAATGACTTCACTCTAGCAATGTGTACTAGGACAAAAAGGGCTAATTTATGCTTATTGCTTTGTTCTATACGGGTTAATTATTATCAACTACCATTGCTTTTATTGTCTGAACTCTAATTTGGACAATTCTTTTTATTCCTTACAGATTACACAGAACTTGCAACTAGTGTGCTGACACAGGTACGTAATCAAGAGACATTGAAGGCACACAGGCATCCGAGAACCATTGCGCGCTTTTCTCATACACGGAAAAGTCGCTATCTTTCAGAATATGGAGTATATGAATGATAGGGTTTATTTATTCCGTTTCCATTTTGTGCTGTCTTAACCGCCTCGCTGTTTGTTGTTGTTTTTGATGTTGTTGTTGCTGCTGCTGCTGTTGTTGTTGTTGTTGTTGTTGTTGTTGTTGTTGTTGAGGATTACCATTGCCTGTGCTAACGGGATACAGTTGGAGCAATCACTTTCAATATATCAGTTCTTTTTTCAAAACTGTGAGAAAAATATCTAATGAAAATGTCSTTTYCAGAAACAATCAGTAGCCTTTCATGGAGTGTTTTCTGTGCTGAAGCAATGTTTAGAAAATCTCGCGGGAAGAGTGGAAGACATAACTGTGCACGGCAAGGACGCCATCAAAGTGTTTGGTGCTATAACAGTCGTGCAAGAAAACCAAAGTGTCYTAATAGAAGTAAGTTATTGTTGTACAGATTTTTTCCTTAAAAGGAATGTGAGAGGTATGGCAGTGCGTTGATTTCTCGGTAGTATTGTGCATTAGTTAGAATGATGATGATATCGTATTCTTTTCCTTTCGGAATTAAAAGCACTCAAAAAATGCTTTTTCGCCTTTCTATTTATCTGATTTTCATTTCAATACAAACGAAAGGGGCAAAGCATTATGGTCTTGTAGTATTTGATGTTATGATAAAAATTGATCGGCGAATAACTGACTGAATTTACTGTCTAACAGTGGACCGCCAACTCTGTCAATGATATGTATGCTGATGCTGTCCTTGCTGTAATTCTACAAGTTGAATCTAACCCGATGGCAGCACAAGGTACAACTCATGCAGAACATCCCAGTATGGCTTTCTTTAGCAAATGACGGCTGTATGTACTGTTTGACAGAATCTCTTGCGCAAAGACCTTACTCAGAGGCGTGCGCAGGGGGCTTCAATAGACCTCTGAAGGTTTTAAGTCATATACCGTTAYGTAATGCATTGGGCCGTGAGATTTTGTTGTCTATAAATAGGGACAATTTTTTATGGATTTTGTTTTGTATTTATTTTAGCTGCTTCTCAAATGAAGAAAATTGATGTCAATACCTTTCATGAAAAGTAAGTGGAAAAGCGTCCATGTTTGTTTCTTGCAGTGTATCATTCACTATAAATAGAAACTCACAAAGTTTKGTATTAATGGGATCAAATCAAAATTCTAGATTTTACAAAGGAATGTATAGGAATTTGAAATCCGGACGCATRTTTCGGCATTCTAAACTTTTGTTCGGAAATTCTAACATTTTTGAAAGGTTCCAAATCGTTTACTATTGATCTGATCGACGCCAAATTCTGACAGTTTGTGTCTCCCAATAAATATTTCCGTTCTATAATGGTCGTAATTAAGTGACTTGTACCAGTCTTTCACGGTATCAGGCAATGTATGTAAACAATTAACAAGGTTAGGGGCGAAATTTGACTGAAATCTTCATTATTTTTACTAGGTTAATAACGTTATTGTCTCGTACCTATGGCGAAGACCAAGTAGTTTTGTCAGCCCTTGGGGATGAAATTACTGTTTACTTTGATGAGCACAAAGCTGTCATCAACCTTGACACACTGGTAGGCATACAAACCATATACTGCTATTTAAAAAGAGTTGTGAGAGCGGGAWAGCGATTGCACGATCGRAAGTTATTATGGGTATTTAGATTTTGATGGGAAACACGCACTTATCTGCTAAAAACAGTTATTAACTAAATGAAACAACATCAAAAATCTTAGCTAATCTTTATATGACGGAAAGGGYGAATATTGGCATCAGTAATCCATAGCCACAAGTATGGATTTCTGATTAACTTCAAGTATGTTAACGTCCGATTAGTGTATGTCAATTACAGTACTTGAAAGTTAATGAAGTTACTAACATTAATTACTGATTGATGTATTATAGGATGTCGACTGTAGTGACGAAAGCCTTAATCATCACGTGACCCATGTAGTTAAACGACTCAACTCGGCGTTCACGCCTTGCTATGCATGACGGGATTCCATAACGAAAAACAAGATCATCCATTGTTTAGACAAAAACCTGTATTTTACAAACATTGTATAAATAAAGCTCCTTTGATAATATTTTTTCAAGAGTCTCAAGAGTCCTTTTGTGGATACTACTATCGTAACTGACCAAGTGAAATATTACCAATACTCAATCTTACCTGAAAGTGGCCTGCTAGAGAGCGCTGTATGTAAAAGCCACATAAACAAAAGCCTCTGTGTGATCAAAGAAGTCGATGTCAGCTCCAGTAGGCAATGTGCAGTGACGCCATTTCACGTGCATAATAGCATGATGGTAGTGGTAGTCCTCGTACTTTTTTTTATTTTTTTATGAGTCAAAATAGAAGTACTTGTATTGTTTATACAAAGAAAGCATAAAACGCCTTTTAGAGAGAAATGTTAGGGTCTATAATAAGTATACGTGGAATACAACTACCATCATGCTTTGTTGCAGAAAATGGCGTCATGATTAGAGAGTTTAAGCATCACGTTAACGGCAAACGGCTAACGGCAGAKCTRAACCAATGAAGTAAGAATTTCGTGCCTGACCTTGTGCTTTTCGTAATCATTTGRAAGAGCGCCTTTTCACGATTATGGCAGCCCCAAAATAACCAACTCTCGCGTTGAAACTGCAACGTTAAACTCCAAAAAAACAGGTCACGTGATCTTTTCTGCCGTTTGCCGTGAACGTCATGCTAAACCTCTCTAAATTGCACGTTGCCTATTAACATCGTGATGTTCTTATGTGCACTGGCCAATTATACGTTTGCAAAATATGTTACAACGACCATCTTTGTTGCATTTCAACAAAGGATTTTAGTCTCATTAGTAAAGTTCATTCATTGTGCTRGGCAATACGACTCAAGATAGAATGCTCTGGTGAACCTATTCCCATATCAAATGAAATAAAACTGTTTGGTGTCACATTAGATAGCAAATTGAAATTCTCATATCAAATCAATATGTCGTAAAGTCGGAGGGCAAGTTAATGCTCTAAATAGACTCAAGAACATTTTACCTACTAAAACCAAGGAAGCATTATACCGTGCATTTATTCTTCCTCATTTCCGGTTAGCTCAGTAGGTATAGCATCGGACTTTAGTGCGGGAGGTCGCAGGTTCAAACCCCATCTGCAAATGGTAAGATCTTCTCGTCCTCTCGGATAACGACGTAAAATCGGAGGTCCCGTCTCTCTACACTTCACTCACTAACCTGTATTAGAGGGACGTTAAAGAACGCACACCACTGTTCGCATAAGAGTAGGGAATGATTCCCGGTGTGTGTGGCTAGGCCTTACTACTAACCCATACTAATTACTAACCCCTCATGATTGTAAGCCGCGTGGCTGCCAATTAGCCGATAACAAAACGAGCAGGGGCCTGGGACTGAAAATTTTAAAAGTGCTACAATCTTACTGAAATCTGTTGTTGATAGATAAAGCACATATAAATTAGCTAAACTTTAAAGTTTGAGCAAGTTTAAGTCATTAGAATTGGGAATATAATTTTTCAAAAATTTCGAAAATTACAAAGAATGTATGTTTGGCTGGACGCTTTGGCTGGACACCATACATTTCTTTGTAATTTTGGCATGGTTTGAATGTCCATAACTTTATTGCTATAAGTTCAAACATCATGAAACTTAGTCAGTAAGCCTTTTATAAGGTGCTCTTTCACAT